GCCTTTTGCATGTATTTATTTGCTGTGCACATACTTCAGTTCAGTTCATCTTTATTCCGAACTCATGGCCCATTTTTAAAACGGAGAAGGAGAGTGACAAAACAAAATGATAAACATTTACGTTTTTAAAAGACAACCACACCAGTGTCTCCGCATACCGTGTTAACATAAGATAATCCTTTATTGTGTCCCATGGGAGAAATTTGTCTTGGGACAGCGGGTAACATGCTTCATCAAAAAACAGGACAACACAACATAAACAAACACCACAGAACAAAAACAGATACGAGACCAAGTATGACCACGAGTGACGCACCAACAGGACCTTTAAATTATTCTTAAAGGTTGTATGGAGGATTTTTTTGTTTTTTTTTTTGTTTCAAGTTGTCAATGATAGATTATAGATGCAGTAGCCTTGTAATTATGATGACCAAAAAAAAGAGAATAAAAATTCATCAACTCTGGACGTGGTGGGGCTAAACATTTGCCAATAGATAACGACACTGCCTCGTTATCTGTGAGCTGACAGGCTGTCAATCAATCTCCCTACGTTTCTAGCGTAACTGACTTGCCTGCGCGCCGCCGGTACGTGGTTTACGTACGCCTGTCACGCAGTCCACAGACGCAAGATGCACAGACGCTGTTTACTCCACCAACGCAACAGTTCTTAGCGGCTTTTTTTGACCTATATCTTCCTCGCAGTTCGCACAAAGTTTGTTGCAATGGCGACAAGAATCCAGGAGCAGTTCGCCGCAAAAGAAAGTCAGTTTTTGAGGTCACTGAAAGAAGAAGACAAGGGGAAAAGCAGCGAAGCCAAACTAAGGTGATTCTTGTAGATTCATTCCAGCGATGGCGCGACTGAAGCAGACGCAGGGTCTAAAGACTGACGCACTGGTCCACAAATTACTCCTGGACAGGAAACTTCTGCTTATTATGAAAACGTACTTTATTTCCAAGAGCTAGACAAACGTTTTTCAGGACACGAAAGCGATATCCTATGTCTGAAAACGTAATTTTCAATGCAAAGAAAGAGTCCGCTTGCTGCTGCGTGTTGTAGCTAGTTCATTCGCACTGAATCTCCGCGCAACCTTCTCTGCACCCCTTTCCTGCTCCTCTCCCCGCTGCCCGTTCCGCTCTTCCCCCTGCTCCTCACTTCTCCGGGCACGGAATCTCCGCGCACCTCTCCTCTCTCCCTGCTCCGCTTCTTCTCTCGTCCGCGAACGAAATGTCCGCACACCCGCTCTCCCGCTCCTCACTTCTCCACCTTGCCTAACCAACACTGTAGTTAGTTGTTTACAAGTCATGTTGCTGTAAACAAACCTGTTTCTGGCGTAAAGAGGAGGCGGGAGGAGGCGTTTCTACGTAGGAGCTGTAGGGGAGGGGGGGTGGTTTCACGCATGCGCAACATTTGAAAAAGGACAAACAGTCGCTGGATTTCTCGTTCCTTGGAAAATCCTCTATACAACCTTTAACAGGCGAGCCCTTTGCATTCTTGTATTCTATCAATAATTGCACACTCCCTAATAGGGATGGGCATGATTAGTCGATTAATCGATAGTTGATCATTAAGAATTTCATCGATTACGTTCATTTTAATCGACAAACCGAATGTAGGTTGCTGTGCGTAGCGTAGGGAGACCAAACCGGGGTCTGTACATGCAGCTCTCTGCACTCAGAAGGAGCAAGCAGACACAAACAGTCGGTCAGTCTGTGTGTGTATTTAACGATGACTTGTACAACGCTTTCCGTTCTGGTCGGGACAAGTGGGAGGCCATGTGCACAGTACAAAGCAGCACTCCATCAAAGCGGGATCCCGTTTGTTAATGGAGAGGAGCAGAAGACAAACAGACTGAGCTGCACTTTCTTGTTCTTGTGGTTTTACAGCAACATCACGTCTTGGTCTCTCTGCAGTGGAAGGTGTTTCTTGGTGAACAGCTGGTGCCTTTCGCTTTGGCGTTGACTTTTTAAATTCGTAACCGAGGTTGAGTGAGGGATCGGAATTTTGCTTTGTCGTCGCTCCACATACAAAATGTTCGCTGCAAACTCGGGATGATTTCTTAGGCAGACAAATGTTTCCTTTTTGGTCCTTCCAGTGGATCAATCCTGCCCATCGCCTTCACCTTTCACTATTTTTCAATTCCGTTGGGAAGAGAAACAGTTTGAACGGAGGTTTCACACACATCTGATTCCCTTTTGCATTTATGGAGTTCGCAAACAAATTTCTCGAGCCATTTTCCGCTGTTAGGATCCAACAACCACACAATTACGATATCCGAATCCCAAAACTAAAATATGACAATATCAGAACCAGAAACAAAAGTGATATGGTTCAAAAGACTTGAAAAAGATCGGCTTTGTCAATAGACGCATCCCACTGGGAAATCAAACATGGCGGTTTGATGCTCGCTTACTTTTTCGGAGGATCTTTCCCAGTAGTATGCATTGCGCAATGACCGGAAGTCCGAGATTCCTGATGCGTCTATATAAGTCATATAAAACGTACAACAAACAAATACCTTTTCCCCCTTCCAGCTAGGCACTATTCCGTGAGAATTCTTGGGTAAAATTCTACTTTCACAACACGTCTACTGGTTCTGGACACGTTTTATTTTCAAGCACCATGGCAACGATCGCTCTAGTGCCTTATTTACTAGTATAACTCATTGGGTTCTCCGACGTTGGTGTTGGGAGCAGTTCTTCCGACACAAGCGGGACCATTTTTTGTAGTTAGGTAACATCAGGCCACCGGGTTTCCTCCTTCTCCTTCAACTCCTTCCAAAGACGAGGAGATTAATCGCTCTAATCAGGGCAAAGCCATGGCCGACCCCGCGCAGGCTGGAAAGTCCTGCTCATATGATCTGCACATATGACCAGCAGCAGCCCCTAATGCAGGATTAGACCATTACTGCCTCACAAAAAAAAAAAAAAACCCTGCTCCACACACTCGAACGGGAACAGACCGACAGGAGCTCTGCAAATAATCTGTCAGAATCAATTTATCCACCGATCGTTCAGTATAAAAGACAGATGGAAATGTACACGGTGTTCTGGAGGTCACTGTTAGTCGTGGAGTGGGTTTATTATTTAAAAAACTCATTTTTTGTACAAACATCAAGGCACCGGCTCAGAAAAATTCAGTAAAAAATCTGCAATATTTGATGTTTTTTTTTTTTACTCAAAATGATGTAGAATCGTGTTATTAACTTTAATGCCTTTTATAATCACCAACAGAAAACAGGACTGAACCAGGACTAAACCAGGTCTAAACCAGGACTGAACCAGGACCAAACCAGGACTAAACTGGGACTACACCAGGACCAAACCAGGACCAAACCAGGACTAAACAAGGACTAAAACCGGTCTAAAATAGGACTAAACCAGGACTAAAAAACCAGGACTAAACCAGAACTAAACCAGGTCTAAACAAGGAGTAAGCCAGGACTGAAACAAGACTGAACTAAGAATAAACCAGGACTAAATCAGGTCTAAACCAGGTCTAAACAAGAACTGAACCAGGACTACACCAAGAGTAAACCAAGTCTAAACCAGGACTGAATCAAGACTAAACCAGGACTAAACCAGGACTAAACCAGGACTGAACCAGGTCTACACCAGCACTAAACCAGGACCAAACCAGGACTAAACAAGGACTAAAACCGGTCTAAAATAGGACTAAACCAGGACTAAAAAACCAGGACTAAACCAGGTCTAAACAAGGAGTAAGCCAGGACTGAAACAAGACTGAACTAAGAATAAACCAGGACTAAATCAGGTCTAAACCAGGTCTAAACCAGGTCTAAACAAGAACTGAACCAGGACTACACCAAGAGTAAACCAAGTCTAAACCAGGACTGAATCAAGACTAAACCAGGACTAAACCAGGACTGAACCAGGTCTAAACCAGGGCTACACCAGCACTAAACCAGGACCAAACCAGGACTAAACAAGGACTAAAACCGGTCTAAAATAGGACTAAACCAGGACTAAAAAACCAGGACTAAACCAGAACTAAACCAGGTCTAAACAAGGAGTAAGCCAGGACTGAAACAAGACTGAACTAAGAATAAACCAGGACTAAATCAGGTCTAAACCAGGTCTAAACAAGAACTGAACCAGGACTACACCAAGAGTAAACCAAGTCTAAACCAGGACTGAATCAAGACTAAACCAGGACTAAACCAGGACTAAACCAGGTCTAAACCAGGACTGAACCAGGACCAAACCAGGACTAAACTGGGACTACACCAGGACCAAACCAGGACTAAACAAGGACTAAAACCGGTCTAAAATAGGACTAAACCAGGACTAAAAAACCAGGACAAAACCAGAACTAAACCAGGTCTAAACCAGGAGTAAGCCAGGACTGAAACAGGACTGAACTTAGACTAAACCAGACTAAACCAGGACTAAACCAGGACTGAACCAGGTCTAAACCAGGGCTACACCAGCACTAAACCAGGAGTAAACCAGGAGTCTGTGGAGCCCTGCACCTGCACCTCATCACCTGACAGTCCACCACGGGCGCACCTCCGGGTCCTGCTTTAGTCCTGGTTCGGTCCTGGTTCAGTCCTGGTCCCTCATGTCTCACGTCACTATAAAACAGTCCTGCAGATTTCACGAGTCTTTGCAGTTTGTTTTCACCGTTGCCAGTCGTGCATTTAAGTTGTAGACCATCTTATATTTGTTATTTTTTTATATCTCACGTCGGGAGAAATGAGTGGACAACGTAACCCAGCATCCCACGCCCACTACACTCTTTTTATCGCGAGTATTTTTTCTTTCCACTAGTGGGGAAGTTATTCTATCAGTGGCATAAATTAGTTTGAGTTTTATCATTTATATATTTGTTAAGCAATCAGACTTATCATCAATAACCAATCACCTTTGTTCTTTTTAGTGGAGTGATTCACAGCCAGTTCTGTCTTTAAAAACAGCTACAGGTCGGCTGGAGATCAGGTCACTCTTGTAGAATCAGTCTAATCGTGGTTTGTGCTCCGCAGCCCTCATGTACGTGATGGGAGCCCTGGGGCCCGCGGCGGGGTACCTGCTGGGGGGAGTGCTCATCGGCTTCTACGTGCACCCCGAAACAGACGTGCACATCGACCAGAGCGACCCGCGCTTCATCGGAAACTGGTAAGAACCACTCCCTCCTCTCACAAACATACAAACATACTTTTGGCTCCATCAACTCTGGCTCCAGTTCAGGTTCTATTGAAAAACTGTCCCCCTCAGGCTCCTCATTTTGTAGAAAACGAACAAAACAAATCTCCCTGCAGTTCTTTGCAGCTCTTAATGTTTCATTATTTTAAAAGCACCACAATGTGACGTTTCGGGGTCAACCCTGTTTATTCGCGAGTACTGTTTCTTAGTTTAGACATAACTAGGGCTGGGTATCGTTAAGAAGTTGCTGATACGATACATACCTCGATACATAGGAAAAGAGAAAATACATACCTCGATACAGTGCACTTTCGATTCAGTACGATATATTTCAAATTGATTCGATACGATTCAGTAAAAAATAAAGACTAAATCATGGCTGTGATACTAAAAGTCTTTGTTAAACCACTTCTTGTGTACAGTTCATATGAAACACAAACATTTTAATCATCAAAACAGTGAAAATGTCAAATGTGTCGCATAAATGATCCTCCTTCCACTAAACAAACAACAAAACTGTAGCTGTAACAAAATAATTTTGTACAATACACCAAAAATACTCTTGGTGATATATCTAGGGTGACCAAACGTCCATTTTTCCCCGGACATGTCCGTTTTTCACGTCCTGTCCTGGCCGTCCGGGGTTTTTTTATGAAAGTGATGCAAATGTCTGGGTTTTCATTTCCTGTCATTGGAGCCATTAAATGTAAAATTTAAATAAAAATTTTAATTTGTAGCTCTCTGTGACTCAGAAGGAGCGCGCAAACACAGACAGTCGGTCAGTCTGCAAAACGCCGAAGCACAAATCCACATTTAACGATGCTTTGTACAAGAAATTCTCCGCTTTCCGTCCCGGTCGAGACAAGTGTGAGTCCGTGTGCACAGTGTACAAAGCAGCACATATGTTTCGGTGTCCAGTGGAGGTGTCAGGGACCTCAAAACTCACCAGGACACCGAAAAACATTTAAAAGCTTTGCCAGGTGAGAGTAGCTCAATGTGGATGACGAGGCCCCACCTCCCACCCCCACGTACGGTGTCCTGGTTTTGACAAACGCACTCTATAGATATATCGATACAACAGCCCACGATATCGATATTGTATTTTGAGATTTTTGCACACCCCTAGACATAGCGCTATGTTCATGACTATCTACTTTCGTAAGACACATGAAACAATAAGCAGACAAATCACACATCAAACATAAAGTGTCTTCTTACGGATGTCCCAGGCTTTCAACACAAACTGAGCCCACTTGAAAACATTACATTTAAACAAATACTCCAGTCTCTTCTCATCAAACACAGCAAACAATCTATAAACTATAAATTATATCAGTGTTTCCCAAACTTTTATTTCTAGGGATCCATAGCCACAAACCTTTAAAAGCCACAAACCTTCGCGACATCATTCATAAATCATAAAATAAAGGTGGATTTGAGCATTATTGAACATTAATGAGGATATTTTATTGTTGACTGAGTGATTGTGTCTTTCTGAACAATTAGTGTTACTCAAGTTTTAAACAATGAAAAGCAGAAATTGAAGCAGCAATAAAAGAATCCATAAGTCGCCTATTTGGACTTTAAATGTAGCCCATTTCTTTTTCTTTTCAGCATTCAATCGAACCAGCAATACTGGAACAAAATAGTCAATAAAATCATTACAAAAAGATTAGAAATTACACAAAACATGTCTTAACATTTCAACCCACATGCAGATCAAGACAAGGCGACCCAAAAATATCTCAAAAGGGCAGTGGTACAGAAAATGCATTTCATTTTCACTGTCCTTTAAGTCGCTCAGAGCACATTTGCGCTCCAAAGCTCCAAAGTAAATTAAAAATTCACAAACATTATTGACCTGTAGATTTTTGTGGTGTCATCTCAAGTCCAGCTCCAGCGAGGTGCTCTGAACTAGCTCAGATGGTTTACCTAATCGTTCCTCATAGTAGAGTTACAGATGGTGTAGGATGTACGTTGAACCTTGTTGTGTCTCCCCCTGCAGGTGGAGTGGCTTCCTGCTCTGTTCCGTGGCCATGCTGCTCGTCATCTTCCCCATGTTCGCCTTCCCCAAGAAGCTCCCCCCGCGACACAAGAAGAAGAAGAGGAGGAAAAAGCTCAACCTGGACGACTCGAGTGACGACGACGTGCTCAAAGAGAAGAACAAGAGCCAGAACGTGTCCTCCTCCATGGGCTTCGGCAAAGACATGAGAGGTACTGCACTCCTGAAGAAAACCGTTTAAACATACTGACTCTGCTGTACGGTCGCACACACTGTAAACACACTGTACCTGATTTTATTGATTATTTTATTATTATTATGAAGAGAACTAGTTCATTTGAAACAGTTTGCAGTGTTCCAAAGTTATTCCGCACTTAACTTATGCGTTCTGAGGAAGGGTGGGACGAAACGGAAATACTCTCTCTTCAGTTTTTCCCGTACATAGACCAATCTGTGGCGCAAAGATTAGAGAAAACAGAGACCGAGAGACCAACATCCGTGCACATGTGTCATACATACGGGACCCCGAGCCTGCGCTTTCTCTTCGCGGTCACCCAACGGTCTACACGGGCGCACCTCTGAACCCGTCTCAACACTCGGAACCTTAACGAAGCCCGGTGTGGTCCGAGAGTAGCCTGGCCTGGTCTCCCCCCGCGCAATAAATGGATCAGAACCCAAGGAGGTCACTTATGATCGGACAATGGAGTTATTTTTCAAAAAGCGACGTAGAATGAAGTGTTCTGGGTTTGGGCTATGCACCAAGCAGACTAATGCTGTTTCATGATTTCATTTAGTCGTCTTGTTGTACCTTTAGTAGTTTCTTATGTCTAATTATAGTATTTTATTTATTTAATTTGTATTATTATATAACTGTTGTATTTGAAATAAAAACCTCAAGTTATTATTATTATTTTTTAAATTATTCATTCCTTTAATGTCAAAGAATCTAAAGTTCAGGTAAACAGTGAACTTAAAAAAAGTAACATCAAATTTGGTAAGTAAATTTGGTAAATCTCAACATGAAACTTAAACTTAAAATACAGGTCTTTAATCCGTGTATCATTCGTTCATTCGTTTTTCAATATAAAACCAAAAATAAGAAAACGAAAAAACAACAGTTTTCTTCGTTATTTGTCTCCAAAACCAAAATGAAAAAACGGATAAATGATTCGTTTTTTCAGTTTTCGATTTTTGTGTTTAAATGAAGAATGGAAAAAACGGATAACGGCCGTTTCCCGTTTACGTGACTTCAGTGACTGCGATGCCGAACTTTTGCACCGCGTACGGACTGAACCAGGACTGATCCAGGTCCGAGACCAGAGCGGGACTGAGACCGAGACCAGCGGTCCGAGCGGTTCCGTGTCATCGTCTCCGCGCTGGTTCCGTGCGGGGAAAGTGAGAATGTTCTGTGGACTACAGGTCCGGACGGGCTGCTCCAGAACCGCGGCTGGTTCCGAGGTGGTGCAAAAAACATCCAACTGACGCTTTCACACCAACAAAAACGAACCGAACTAAGAGCTTTTGGTTCAAATGGACCAGGTCCGGGATCAGACCGGGACCGGAGCGCTACTGAGACTGGGACCAGACCGGGACCAGAGCGGGCCTGAGACCGAGACAAGACCGAGACAAGACCGAGACCAGATCGGAGGCTCAGAGCCCACGGCAGGGCCGGAGCTCGAAGCTGAGGCTTGGACCCCGCGGAGGCTCAGAGTCAAAGCTTGGAGTCCGCCCCAGTCCTGCTCTGGTCCGCTCTGGTCCCGCTCTGGTCCCGCTCTGGTCCGCTCTGGTCCCGCTCTAGTCCCGCTCTGGTCCCGCTCTGGTCCGCTCTGGTCCCGCTCTGGTCCCGCTGGTCCCGCTCTGGTCCCGGTCTGGTCTCGGACCTGGATCAGTCCTGGTTCAGTCCGTACCCGGTGCAAAAGTTCGGCATCGCAGTCACGGAAGTCACGTAAACGGGAAACGGCCGTTATCCGTTTTTTCCATTCTTCATTTAAACACAAAATCGAAAACTGAAAAAACGAATCATTATCCGTTTTTTCATTTTGGTTTTGGAGACAAATAGCGAAGAAAACTGTTGTTTTTTCGTTTTCTTATTTTTGGTTTTATATTGAAAAACGAATGAACGAATGACACACGGATTGTCTTTATTCTAACACAAATTTGGTCTTACAACTTAAACACAACGAACTCCAGGCTCTCCAAAGAAGCAAAAATCGCACAAGGAAAAAATATAGTTAAAAGGCCTTTATTTAAACGGGAGGTAGGTAAACACTGGCAGTGAATGATTTGGTCTGTGGGAAACAATGCTCTCTCTCTTTTTTTGTTTAAAAAAAAAAAATAAAGTACTTACTGAACATGTTCTTGACAACGTCTCTGTTCCTCTGCAGATTTGCCCCGCGCAGCCGTGAAGATTCTGAGTAACGTGACCTTCCTGTTCGTCAGCCTGTCGTACACGGCCGAGTGCGCCATCGTCACCGCCTTCATCACCTTCATCCCCAAGTTCATCGAGTCGCAGTTCGGCATCCCCGCGTCCAGTGCCAGCATTTACACAGGTACCAGAAAATACACAGTACTACCAGAAAATACTATCAGAAAATACACAGTACTACCAGAAATACACAGTACTACCAGAAAATACACAGTACTACCACAGAAAATACACATACTACAGTACACGTATACCAGAAAATACACAGTACTACCAGAATACTACAGAAAATACAGCAGAAATACACAGTACTACCAGAAATACAGAAATACACAGTACTACCAGAAAATACTACAGCAATACTACCAGAAAATACACAGTACTACCAGAAAATACACAGTACTACCAGAAAAATACTACCGCAAAATACACAGTACTACCAGGCAAATACTACCAGAAAATACACAGTACTACCAAAATACTACCAGAAAATACACAGTACTACCAGTAACTACCAAAAATACTACCAGAAAATACACAGTACTACCAGCAAATACTACCAGAAAATACACGGTACTACCAGCAAATACTACCAGAAAATACACGGTACTACCAGAAAACACTACCAGAAAATACACAGTACTACCAGCAAATACTACCAGAAAATACACAGTACTACCAGCAAATACTACCAGAAAATACACAGTACTACCAGCAAATACACAGTACTACCAGAAAATACACAGTACTACCAGCAAATACTACCAGAAAATACACAGTACTACCAGCAAAATACTACCAGCAAATACACAGTACTACCAGCAAATACTACCAGAAAATACACAGTACTACCAGCAAATACTACCAGCAAAATACACAGTACTACCAGAAAATACTACCAGAAAATACACAGTACTACCAGCAAATACTACCAGAAAATACACAGTACTACCAGCAAATACTACCAGAAAATACACAGTACTACCAGCAAATACTACCAGAAAATACACAGTACTACCAGAAAATACACAGTACTACCAGCAAACTACTATCAGAAAATACACAGTACTACCAGCACCAATACTACAGAAAATACACAGTACTACCCAAATACTATCAGAAATACACAGTACTACCAGAAAATACTATCAGAAAACTATCACAGAAAATACACAGTACTACCAGAAAATACTATCAGAAATACACAGTACTACCAGCAAATACTACCAGCAAATACACAGTACTACCAGAAAAATACACAGTACAGCAAATACCAGCAAATACACAGTACTACCAGAAAATACACAGTACTACCAGCAAATACTACCAGAAAATACACAGTACTACCAGCAAATAACTACTACCAGAAAATACACAGTACTACCAGCACCAGCCAAATACTACCAGAAAATACACAGTACTACCAGCAAAATACTACCAGAAAATACACAGTACTACCAGAAAATACACCAAACTACAAAAAATACAGAAATACTACAGAAAATACTACCAGAAAATACACAGTACTACCAGAAAATACTACCAAAAATACACAGTACTACCAGCAAAAACTACTACCAAAAATACACAGTACTACACAGTACTACCAGAAAATACTACCAGAAAATACACAGCAAATACTACCAGAAAATACTACCAGAAAATACACAGTACTACCAGAAAATACACAGTACTACCAGCAAATACTACCAGAAAATACACAGTACTACCAGCAAATACTACCAGAAAATACACAGTACTACCAGCAAATACTACCAGAAAATACACAGTACTACCAGAAAATACTACCAGAAAATACACAGTACTACCAGAAAACACTACCAGAAAATACACAGTACTACCAGCAAATACTACCAGAAAATACACAGTACTACCAGCAAATACTACCAGAAAAAATACACAGTACTACCAGCTAAATACACAGTACACAGTACTACTACCAGAAAATACACAGTACTACCAGCAAATACTACCAGAAAATACACTACTACCAGAAAATACTACCATACACAGCAAATACTACCAGAAATACACTACCAGTACTACCAGAAAATACACAGTACTACCAGAAATACTACCAGTACTACCAAAATACTACCAGCAAATACTACCAGCAAAATACTACCAGCAAATACACAGTACTACCAGCAAATACTACCAGAAAATACACAGTACTACCAGCAAATACTACCAGCAAATACACAGTACTACCAGAAAATACTACCAGAAAATACACAGTACTACCAGCAAATACTACCAGAAAATACACAGTACTACCAGCAAAATACTACCAGAAAATACACAGTACTACCAGCAGAAAATAAATAACAGCAATACTACAGAAAATACACAGTACTCCAGCAAATACTACCAGAAAATACACAGTACTACCAGCAAATACTTCAGAAAACTACACAGAAAATACACAGTACACCAGCAAATACTATCAGAAAATACACAGTACTACCAAAAATACTACAGAAAATACACAGTACTACCAGCAAATACTACCAGAAAATACACATACCAGAAAAATACCAAAATACAATACCAGCAAATACACAGTACTACCAGAAAATACTATCAGAAAATACACAGTACTACCAGCAAATACTACCAGCAAATACACAGTACTACCAGAAAATACACAGTACTACCAGCAAATACTACCAGCAAAAATACACAGTACTACCAGCAAATACTACCAGAAAATACACAGTACTACCAGCAAATACTACCAGAAAATACACAGTACTACCAGCAAATACTACCAGAAAATACACAGTACTACCAGCAAATACTACCAGAAAATACACAGTACTACCAGAAAATACACAGTACTACCAGCAAATACTATCAGAAAATACACAGTACTACCAGAAAATACACAGTACTACCAGCAAATACTATCAGAAAATACACAGTACTACCAGAAAATACACAGTACTACCAGCAAATACTATCAGAAAATACACAGTGCTACCAGCAAATACACAGTACTACCAGCAATACTACAGCATAATACAGTACTACGCAAAACTAAAATACACACTACCAAAATACAAATACCAGTATACCAGAATACTACAGTACTACCAGCAAATACTACCAAAAATACACAGTACTACCAGAGAAATACTACCAGAAAATACACAGTACTACTACTACCAGCAAAAATACACATACTACCAGCAAAACACTCAGAAATACTACCAGAAAATACTACAGAAAATACACAGTACTACCAGCAAATACTACCAGAAAATACACAGTACTACCAGAAAATACTACCAGAAAATACACAGTACTACCAGCAAATACTACCAGCAAATACACAGTACTACCAACAAATACTACCAGCAAATACACAGTACTACTAACAAATACTACCAGAAAATACACAGTACTACCAACAAATACACAGTACTACCAGCTAATACTACCAGCAAATACTACCAGAAAATACACAGTACTACCAACAAATACACAGTACTACCAGCTAATACTACCAGCAAATACTACCAGAAAATACACAGTGCTACCAGAAAATACTACCAGCAAATACTACTAGCAAATACACAGTACTACTAACAAATACTACCAGCAACTACACAGGACCACCAGCAAATACTACCAGAAAATACACAGTGCTACCAGCAAATACACAGTACTACCAGCAAATACTACCAGCATATACACAGTACTACCAGAAAATATACAGTACTACCAGCAAATACTACTAGAAAATACACTGTAGTACCAGCAAATACTACCAGAAAATACACAGTACTACCAAGAAATACTACCAGAAAATACACAGTACTACCAGAAAATACTCAGTACTACCATCAAATACTACCAGAAAATACACAGTACTACCAGAAAATACACAGTACTACCAGCAAATACACAGTACTACCAGAAAATACTACCAGCAAATACACAGTACTACCAACAAATACACAGTACCAGTTTGGCAGTAACTACAAGTCCACCATCTGTATTTTCCAGGTGTGATCATTGTGCCCAGCGCCGGCGTGGGCATCGTCCTGGGCGGGTACATCATAAAGAAGTTGAAGCTGGGGGCGCGGGAGTCGGCTAAACTCGCCATGATCTGCAGCGGCGTGTCCCTGCTCTGCTTCTCCACGCTCTTCATCGTGGGCTGTGATAGCATCAACCTGGGAGGCATCAACATCCCCTACACCACCGGGTAAGAACTCTAGAACTTTACAGTAACAGTCACAAATACACCACCGGGTAAGAACGCAACTCCAGACCGTCACAGTCACAAATACAGATACAGTGATCCCTCGCTATATCGCGCTTCACCTATCGCGGCCTTGCTGCTTCGCGGAATTTTTTACAGTGCTTTATTTTTTACAGTGAATCCTGATTGGCTTAGGGGCGTTACTGTTGTCTAGAAGTGAAAAAGGTTTATATTGGTTTTTCATTACACCCATGCCAACAGTTTTCGTTTTCTGTACATTTCTGCCAATTTACGTTCGCAATTTTTCTCCGTGACAAACCACAATGTCAAAGAAACGTTCTGGATGTCCATTAAAAAATCTTCTTGCTCAGAAAAAGAAAGAGTGCCAACAACTACCCATAACGATGTTCTTCTCTCGGAGAAAGACCCCTGCGCAGCCTTCAGTAGAAAAAGACGCTACAGCGCAACGGAGTCAGGACGAAGAGGCGCAGCTGGAGGACGTGAAATACGGCGAGTGACATGTTTCCTACTTGTATTCATTACTATATAAAAATATTGTTTTACATCACCGTTCTTTAAACTATTATAGTTATTTGTAAGAAAACGTTAATATTTCTATTTCTTTAACACATGTTGGGCCTGAAAAGAGGTTTTATTTTTTGTTTCATTCTGCAGTTCAGTATTGCATTGTAAAATCACAGTAAAAAATAAAGCTGACTACTTCGCGGATTTCACCTATTGCGGGTTATTTTTGGAACGTATCCCCCGCGATAAACGAGGGTTCACTGTACACCACCAGGTAAAACCTCCAGACAGTTTAGATATTTGTGAAAAACCTCAAATATACGAAGCAAGATGTATGGAATTATGTATCAAAGAAAAAAAAAAGTGCTAAATATATTTTAGATTTAGATTTAAATTCCTCAAAGTGTCCACCTTTTTTGCTCCATGAAGAAGTCTCCAGAAATTAGCGCTGGGTGTCATTAAGAAGTTGTCGATACGATGCATATCTCCATACAGTGAGCTTTCGATTAGATTTGATATACAGTTTTTCAAATCAATTTGATACGGATCAATAAAAATAAAGGCTAAATCATGGCTGTGGTACTAAAAGTCTTTGTTAAACCACTTCTTGTGCAAAGTGAATCTGAAACACAAATATTTTAATCCTCTAAACAGTGAAAATGTCAAATGTGTCGCATAAACAAGTTTCCTTCCTCTGAACAAACAACAAAACTGTAGCTGTAACAAAATAATTTTGTAAAAGATACAAAAAAAGACTCTTGGCGATATATCAATACAGCAGCCCACGATACTGATACTGTATCACAAGCCCCGGGGTTTCAAAATGGCCTCCCAGCTCAATGGTGCATGATCCCAGATTCGCCTTTAGCCCGGCGAGGTTCTTCCGGTGGCTGTGGACCAACTGAGCATGTGCAGTAGTGTCTTTTCTCCCACGGCCACACGCAAATGCATACGAGCGCACTCACGGAGCGCGGTCTTGTGTATCAGGTGATCATTTTGACCAATCAGAGCGAGTGGAGGTAGACCGGAGCAGAGCGGAGCCGGAGCTAATGATTCTAAAGCCTTTTTTAAGACAACTGAAGGATTTTGAGCTGAGAAAAAGTGTATGATCTAAAAATAGGTACAAATTGCAACAAAATCCAACATTTTTGAAAGTTGTAGGTCCCTGTCAGACGAACAGGAGCAGTTTGTGATTACTTTGCCTCTATGAGAAAAATCCTCTCTCAGCCCAGGGGATTTTTTCGCTGTAATACCAGTGAGTGTCACTACGTCAACTAGAGGCAGCTACAAGCAGCAATACTGTATCCAGTTATTTTAATAGATCCATGTTGTATCAGCACATGAAACTATATGATATATCAATATTTCGTTATTTCTTCACAGTAACTGAGTACTACCCACCTGTGTGTACATTACTGATACAACCTGTGCAAGGTGCATCATCTGTGCGACTCCTACCTCAGTTAAGGGCGAATAATAGTTTTGCGTCAACTCAACACACACTGCCGCCGTCGCCTTGTCACCATCTTTGTTGATTTATGGATCTATGCACCGCCAAGTAATTCACCTCAACACCAGGAGGCGAGGATTGTCTCAGTACCAAAAATTGTGGTTTCACCCATTCCTAGTCTTTTAAATATCAACGCTCCTCAATCAGGGTTCCAATGTCATGGAAATCCTGGAAAAGTCATGGAATTTAAAATTTATTTTCCAGGCCTGGAAAAGTCATGGAATTTTAGTATCTTTTTCACTCAGCTCCAGCGTTCTGTTAAGTTCTCATGAGGCTATTATGATTATTTCTGAAGGTATGCACTTTTAGTTTAAAAGACGACAATAAATGCACTGACAGGATTTTGAATGTTAAAAAACTAAATATAGATCAAGTGAGTGAAAGGAGTTAACATTTTCATATTTAACCCTAAAAGTCTGCTCAGTTCTACACATGTAGGTGCTGTAAAGTCATGGAAAATCCACTTTAGGTCATGAAAAAGTCATGGAGAAGTTTAGAGATTTTGTCAGTGAAAAAGAGTGGGACTCCTGCTCAATGTGGTTAAAATCTGCAGCACAAATTGAATAAAAGTGTAATCTCATATTTCCGTGTCTCCAGACCAGTCGGAGGTAGATCTGTGTAGATTCTGCGTCCTGATCTGTGCTGTGTGTGTCCAGGCCGACTCTGACCATGACCCAGAGGAACCTGACGGGCGGCTGTAACGTCAACTGTGGCTGCAGGATCCACGAGTACGCTCCGGTCTGCGGCTCCGACGGCATCACCTACTTTAACCCGTGTCTGGCCGGCTGCAGCAGCGTGTCCAACGACTCCAGCGGGGTAAGGACCACGATATACTTTAAAGGTTGTATAGAGGATTTTCCAAGGAACGAGAAATCCAGCGACTGTTTGTCCTTTTTCAAATGTTGCGCATGCGTAAACCACCCCCCTCCCTACAGCCCTACGTAGAACGCCTCCTCCCCCGCCTCTTTACGCAGAAAAGGTTGTTTTACAGCGGTGCAATGACTTGTAACAACTAACTACAGTGTTGTTAGGCAAGAATGGAGAAGTGAGAGCGGGGGGAGCGTGTGCGACATTTCGTTCGCGGACGAGAAGTGAGGAGCAGGGAGAAGACGGAGCAGGAGAGAGGAGAGGAGAGGGAGAGGGAGAGCGGAGATTCCGTGCCCGGAGAAGTGAGGAGCAGGGGGAAGAGCGGATCGGCAGCGGGACAGGAGCAGGAAAGGGTGCAGAGAGGTTGCGCGGAGATCGTGCGAATGACTAGTACAACAGCAGCAGCAAGCGGACTCTTTCTTTGCTTGAAAATTACGTTTTCAGACAAGGAATATCGCTTCGTGTCCTGAAAAACGTTTGTCCTCTTGGAAAAAGTACGTTTCATAATAAGAGAAGTTCCTGTCCAGGAGTAATTTGTGACCAGTGCCAGTCTTTAGACCCTGCGTCTGCTTCAGTCCCGCCATCGCTGGATGAATCTACAAGAATCACCTTAGTTTGGCTTCGCTGCTTTCCCTTGTCTTCTTCTTTCAGCGACCTCAAAAACGGACTTTCTTTTGCGGCGAACTGCTCCTGGATTCTTGTAGCCATTGCAACAAACTTTGTGCGAACTGCGAGGAAGATATAGGTCAAAAAAAGCCGCTAAGAACTGTTTGCGTTGTGGAGTAAACAGCGTCTGTCCTTGCGTCTGTGGACTGCGTGACAGGTAACGTAAACCACGAACCGGCGGCGCAGGCAAAGTCAGTTACACTAGAAACGTAGGGAGATTGATTGACAGCCTGTCAGCTAACAGATAACGAGGCAGTGTCGTTATCTATTGGCAAATTTACCCACCACGCCAGAGTTGATATTTTTATTCTCTTTTTTTTGGTCATCATAATTACAAGGCTACTGCATCTCTATAATGCTATCATTGACAACTTGAAAAAAAAAAAATCCTCCATACAACCTTTAAGTAAAACCTCAGTTAAAGTCCTGACTGTGAGCGGGCTTGTAGTCCACAAACCTGACTCGTATTTGTCCAAAGCCTCCTGGTTGTTCCTTAGGATATAATCTTCCACAGTGTGACATACAACAGACTGGTTTCATGTTCTGGAGTGTGGTTTTAACTTTCTGTTTCTGTGGAATGAGATGCCTCCTCCGGAATGTTACACACTATTGCTTTAAGACTTATTTTACTCAGTTGTCTATTCTCTCCCTCTCTCTCTCTTTCTCCCTCCCTCTCTCTCTCTTCGATTCCTTCTCTCTCTCCCTCTCCTCCCCCCTTCTTTCTTATTTTCTGTCTCTCTCTCCCTC